CCCCTGATATAAAATACCTACTCGGTTATCTACTTTCTTTCTCTACTGAATATAATTTGTAGTTTACTGATTTGAGGAAATGATTCAAATATCTACATATATTCGCCTCATCTAAACAATAAGTAACTAATCGTTCACGTTTCATAAAACACAACAAATTTAAGAGATCTGTCTTCCATAGACATGCATTTAAACAATATATCGATTATATCACCATATTCTCTTTATTAATTTCCACAAAGTTCCTAGTCTTCTGTATGCAATCGGAAATATCTAATATCTAGCAAACTGTTTGTAAAGTTCTTTAACTATTAACGGTACAGACAACACAGATTCACCGATACTTAAGCTAACTAACTATATCAATTACACCTCAATATTTGTTTCTAGCTGATTTATCACAGAGAAATATCGACTTTTTTATTACTTCTTTCGATGAAATTTGCATAGAAAATTCATTCCATATTTCTTTGCTATGCTTTACCCGTGATAAGATTATCAAGAAGATTAGGACTACTATCCGCAATTTAATCATCATATTGACATAATTGCAGACTGAAAAAATCAACATACGAATTTTCATAAGCTTTTCTTATCGTCAAAACCAACATCAAACAGAACATTCTTCAATTATACGTATTTTCCATTGCTTTTCACTGTCATCATAATTACCAGAACAGCCATTTTACAGGTGTTCTTCATTTGTACTTCCGCAAGCATTCTTTCAACCTTTTTGAAATATGTTTAGTCATGAACATATCGGCAAAACCAGCCAGGATGAAATTCCGTAACGCTTGGATAACCATGACAGACTTTTAGACGAGTAGTTTTGTTTGTTTTAAAAGTTATGGTATAGTGAGACTATGAAGTTTTACTAAGAACAGAAATTATCGGTCCAATTGTTTATGTCCTTCAGAGGAAATTTCTCCGTTACGGAATTTCATCCTGGCTGGTTTTGCCGAAAACAAATTTCTATAACATTGGAGAAATTTAAATATTGTTTTGGAATGTAACCGCAAGTTGACCACGCATATGAAATCATTGGTTTGAACACGGAAGAACTCAATTGATTATGAACCAGACTTTGTAATTTAATGATAGCATCACGATTTCTTAAATCAACATCTAATTCATCTAATGATACACGATGATATATTCTCTTCGTTAACTCTTTCCATTGCCGGAAAAAATAAGTATCACACGGCTGTTTAGTTGATGTCGTTTTTCTTGGTATTACTAATAATTTACACGACTGACCTTTTGTCAGGTTGTTGTCATATACAGTAATGTTAGCCTGTGGTGACCATTGATCGACCATAAGAAGAAATCGATTGCTGACGACTTTATCTAAAACCTCTTTAATCCAATATTCTATCAAAGATGCACTTAATTTCCCAGATTTACTGCAACTTGTTACTATATTTGGTGCTGAAAAGATCTTTTTCGTGGTTGGAAATCGACCTGTAGGTTCTTGAAGACAAATAAAAAGAGGACTGAGGAGTTGACTAGCAGCACTGATGATAGGCATCACTGTATATGAGTGTGTTGTCGCATTCAAAGATTTGACTGAAACATAAGTCGTTTTTTCTCCTACATGAGATAACGTGCGATTCGAAGCCATTTCGTAATGAAAACTGGACTGATCTGCATTTAGCACACATTCGAGTTTATATTTTGGTATATGTTTGGTCGCTTCGGTAACAAAATCATCAGCAGAATTTTCAATTATAGATTTATCACTAGCTTCCCTATGAGAAATGAATTTTGTCACCTTTCTGGAAGAAATATTGTTACGTTTCTTAAAATTGAGAATCCAATGATGACTTCCCAGGTTATTATGGCACGGTCGGTTCCGGCCGGTTAAGTTTGTTTTCCGGCCATTTCCTTGCCGCCAGATTCTGGCTGGAAGTTCAAACGTAGGTTCCAGTCATTTCCCGACCGTTTCCTGCAAACTTCGAGCTGGAAACGGCCAGGAACTGATCGGATATTTCCTGTGCAATTCCGGCCGGAAT